TTTGTTTTGTCTTTTCAGCGTGGTTTGGTTCCATTTCTCCCACACCAGCATTATGTGAGCTACATTCATTCCAATCTTTTAAATTATCTACATAGATTCATTTCAAGAATTCCCTTTGTACACAACTGCAACAAGCTGTGCCTCCCTTACCTTCTCAAACCCAGTCTGTTCTTTGGTCTGAAACCTACATAGATTGACATTAAGGAGGCCAGACCAAAGTCACGATTTTGGAATTGAATAAGAGAGAGAAGTTGAAAGTTTGTTCAGAAACTTGATAGTAAAACTCAGATTACATCTGAAACTCAGGGCTCCAGGATTATCATCTGCATTTGTTTCATTTGGTTTTCTGTGTCTTTGTTGTAGAAGATCTATGTAGCATTTCTTCTTTGTCTGCCATATTATTGTAAGTTTCATAATATTGTTTTTTTTTTTTAATTCCTCATAGCCAGAGATGACTCTATATATTTGAAAAGTATCGATATTTGTAACCTTCCAGAATCTGGGAGACCTGGCACGGTAGAAGAAGTACTGGAGTGCTAACCGCAAGGTCAGCTGTTCAAACTCACCAGCTGCTCCTTGGAAAACCTTGACTGGGTCATTATGAGTTGGAATGTTCACCTCCACCAACAAGAACAACAACATACTCTATCTAGCACAATACTTAGAAGTAAGTATACTTTATAAACATTATCAATTAATTAATTTATAAACATTACCTGTATACACTTTCAAAATAATATTTGAGTACTTCTGTAGATGGATTTATAGCTACTAAAATTTTCCTTTCTACACTACTAAAGAAAAAGGCTAAAAATTACAACTAATAAAATGCTGCTGTATTCTTTGATTAAAAACGGAAAATAAGACTAATCTCTGTTTTGTTGTTGTTATTGTTGTTAAGTGTCATCAAGTTGGTGCCAGATCATTGCAACCCTGTATAAAGTGTCCAAGGACCAGCTGGTGGGTGTGATCAATTGACCTCTGGAGTAGAAGCCAGGACTTACTCCACAGTGCCACACAGAATGCCAGAGATGTGTTATGGTGTTGGTGTTGTTGTTAAGTGTTACCATGCCAGTTCTGACTCATAGTTTCCAAAGAGTTGCTGGTGGATTTGAACAGCTGACCTTTAGATTCACTGGCACACAATTAACCAGAATAACTAGTTAATCAAAATTTCTAGTGAATCAGAATTTAAGAGAGGAACTCAACAGAAATAAAGTAAAATACTATGATAAAATCATTTCAAAATATCTTGAGCATGTCCGGTGATCAGCACAGACATGTGGTTTTGAGTCAATCTTTTATACTTATTCATCTACGAGCAGGCATAAGAATCCATTTTCAGAATGATGACCCTGGAGCACTCTGTCACATTATGAAATATCTTATCATCTTTATTTCAGTGTGTTTATTGAAGCAAGAAGATGGAATAATTTATTTTACAGAGATTTACAGTCACAAGAGTTAGATTAAATGGAGATTCTTCTCAAAATTCACTAGAATTTTCTCTGAATCAGTCCTTATTGACTTAAAATTGTTATTAATGCTGTTTCAGTCATTGTCAGTCTCGGGGAATCTGGACCCTCTTCCTTGAAAAGTACATATACCCCTGCACATATATGTATACGCATATATGTATATGTGTGTTAAGTGCAGTTGAGTTGGTTCTGTATAGGGTTTCTGAGGTGTGACTAGTGGGTTTGAAACACTAGTTAGCAGTCCATTGTTATCCTATAACATCACTCTAGGAATATATATATATATGGAGAGAGAGAGAGAGAGCTCTGATAGCGCAGTGGTTACGAATAGGGCTGCTAACCTCAAGGTTGGCAGTTCGAAACTACCAGCTGGTCCATGGGGGAAAGATGAGGTTTTCCACTCCCGGAAAGATTTACAGTCTCGGAGACCCTGTACAGGGTCACTATGAGTCGGAAACCGACTCCACGGCACATAACAACAACAGCAACTGTATATATATGAGAGTCCTGGTGTGGCGCTGTGGGTTAATGCTCCAGACTACAAAGCCGTTTGAACTTCAAGATCGGTGGTTCAAGCTCACCAGCTGCTCCTTGGAAACCCTATACA